CTCTATACCCAACATGGGCTTGAACTCACAACCCTGAGATCAAGGGTTGCATGCTCCACTGAGTGAGCCAGCCAGGCGCCCCTAGTAGGTTTTCTTAAAATCTCTTCTCAAACATGGCCAAAGGCAAAATAAATCCCTTGACTTCAGAAATGACTTGACTATAGGGGTTTGCACAAGTGCTCACTTGTGAGGGGCAAAGAGAGAGGGGCAAAGAGAGAGGGGTAGAGAGAAAATCCCAAGCAGGCTCCATGTGGTCAGCTTAAAGCCCAATGAGGGGTTCGACCTGGGGCTCAAACTCACGAACCATGAGATCATGACCTGAGCCAAAATCAAGAGTCAGACACTTAACTGACTGAGCCACCAAGGTGCCCCAGTACAAATTACTTTCTACTGCATCACAGACATCTCAGAAGTAGTTGGTCTCTCTCTCCACACAACACACACACACACACACACACACACACACACACACACACACAGACCCTCGGCTCATAGGACCAGAAGCCCAGGGGTGGGGTGCAGTCCCTAAGGAGTTGGGGTGATGGCCGAAAGGACCCAGGATCTCACCTTCCAGAAAATCCAGAAGCCATTTAACCAGCCGAGGAGGACCTCACAGATAAGGATGGTCAGCACAATGTCATCTATGGTAGAGAACAACTCATAGTGTTTCTATATGAAGACAGAGAAAAAGAGAGGGGCAGAGAGGTCAGTGGAACAGAGCCTGGGCAAGGCTGGGCAGGGGGGCATCTGTGGGGGGAAGGGCAGGCCCGTAATCCTGCTGCTCTTCATCCTCAGCAATTTGGCAGCTGCCTTTAGTCCACATTGTCCATGTACATGCCAGGCACCGTGCTAAGGCCCCACATGTGTCATTCATGTCAGCATCACCATCGTCCTCCAAAGTGGGCTTTATTCCTGTCTCACAGATGAGGAATCAGAGAGGTGCCTGAGGCCACAGAGTTAGCAATAAAGACTGTTGTCTGACTATAGGGGCGCCGGGGTGGCTCAGTCGGTTGGGTGTCCGACTTCAGCTCAGGTCATGATCTCGTGGTCCGTGAGTTCGAGCCCCGCGTCGGGCTCTGTGCGGACAGCTCAGCACCTGGAGCCTGTTTCAGATTCTGTGTCTCCCTCTCTCTGGCCCTCCCCCACTCACACTCTGTCTCAAACATAAGTAACATTACATAAGTAAACATTAAAAACATAAGTAAACATTAAAAAAAATTAAGAAAAAAAAAGACTGTTGTCTGACTATAAACCTTTGCTCCTAACCTCTGGAGCAGGGATACTTGAAAAAGGGAGGTGGCTGAGAGGCAGAACAGGCTCCGGGATTGGAAGGAAAGGCCCTGGCCGCTGAGACAGAGGGCACCAAGCCTCATCCTTCCTTCTCTGGTTGTCCCAGCCACTCCTGCTGCTTTGTTTCCCAAATCTCCCAGACAAGGCCTGACTGACTTCCTGCATATGCCCCTCCCCACCCCCCCCATCGCCGGCCTACTCACGGGCCCAGTTCCCCGGGTGGATGGACTCATGGATGGATGACCATGACCTTGAATTCTGTTTAAAATCCAACTCACTGGGGCGCCTGGGTGGCTCAGTCGGTTAAGCATCCAACTCTTGATTTCAGCTCAGGTCATGACCTCCCAGTTCGTGGGACTGAACCCCACATTGGGCTTGGCACTGACAGCATGGAGCCTGCTTGGGAATCTCTCTCTCCCACTCTCCCTGCCCCACTCCAGCTCTCTCTCAGTCTCTCTCAACATAAATAAACATTAAAAAAAAAAAAATCCAACTCACTTTCCCCCAATCTCCCATGAAGCTGTAACCCTACTATAGTTTGTGACCCTGTTAACAGCTCCCAGCCTCCAACTCCACCCTGGCAGTTACCAAAGTCCCTTGGACTCCTCTCTTTCTCCACTTCCATGGCCAACAGACTCAGTGCCTCAAGGTTCACTACCACATGCAGAGGCCTCCTGGTACCCACAACCTTGCCCTCACCCATATCCACTGGCCAATGAGAGGCTGGGCAGAGTTTCTTAAACCCAGATGGGAGATTAAGGTTTTGGGCTCCCTGCCTGTTCCAAATTCTCTAAGGGTGTCATGGGCCAGGGATGTCGGTCTATAACAAGGAAGAGCTTTCTGTCCCCTCAGCTCCACCCCGCTGACTCCCGGGGGCAATAAACTCTCTGCACTATTTGCTGCCAAGAGCTTCCTAAATACTCCATCCGCCTTCTTCAAGTCATGAGCATCCATGGCTAAATCAGAGTTGCTTCCTCCACCCACAAGCCTGCTATGGCTCCCAATGGCATAGGGACAAGGTTCAAAACCAGTCTGGTATCCACAGGCCATGACCTTCATGGACACATATCCTACACCAGAGCTTTTAGCTAGCATTTTTTGACTGGGACCTATAGTAAGAGGTGAATTTTGTATTTCACATCTTCCCTCTTTCCCCCTCCCCCACTCTCTCGCGTGTGCACACACATACAATTTCCATTTCATTCTTTTTCATTCTACTTCATTCTGTATCAGAATGCTGGTATCTGCAGTCTAAACTGATTTCATGATCCGTTGAGGGGTTGAAGCTGCCTTGTAGTTCTACTCGTGCTGCAATCTTGGCTGTTGGCTGTCTGCCTCCACCGCATGGGAGGCAGCTCCTGTCAAGGCCACAGGAACTAAATCCAAGGGATGCTCCATGATCCTTCTCTGGCCTCCTCTCTTGCCATTTCTGGCCCCAGACCAGACAGCACACTCTCCTGGGTCCTCCCCACTCTACTGGTCACTCCTCCTCAGTCTTTCATGCACCTCCTCCATTCTCTGTCTTTCAGTTGGAGACTCTCCTCAGAGCTCTGTCTTGGCGTTCTTCCCTTCTCACTGGATATGCTCTTCCCAGGTGACCTTGTCTACTCCTTTAGCTTCTGGCAACCATCCACCCAGACGCTGGCAGCCCTCATGTTGGAATCTCCACCCCCCCCCCCCCCCCCACCCCGAGCTCTCAGCAGGATCTCGGAGTTGAGCTCTAACCTCTCACTAGACATCTCTATGTGGATATTGCATGGGTGCCTCAAATGCTACTCAATTCAAAGTGACCTTGGCATTCTCCCCAAACCCACTCATTGTCCTATGTCCCCACGTCCCAACAAACAGCACCGTCCCCACACAGTTACTCAAGTCAGAAGTGTAACTTCTTGCTCTCCCCTTCCCTACACGTGTGAGATGATGATGTATGTTAAAAAAGGTGGCACATAGGAAGTGCTTATGAAGTGTTTGCTATAAAGAAAAGCAGTCGGGAGGCCCATGGATTCAACTCCTAGAGAGTTTCAAATGCATGTGACCTCTTTTACCAATGGCCATGGCCCTGGTCCAAGACCCACCATCTTTCACTAAACACCACAACACGGTCTTGCCAGACCATCTTTTCCCATTCTTGGCACCCTCCTTTCCGGGGTCCACACTGTAGCAGCCAGTGTAAGTTTTCTGAAACACACGTCTGGTTATGTCACTTTCGTGCTTTAAACCCTTCCCTGACTTTCCAACGACATAGGATAGAGGCCATCCTCCTTAAGATAACTTAAAAACCCCGCACCATCTAGCTGCTGACCATCCCTCTGAAATCATCAGCCACCATGTTGGACATTTTTAAAACACTGACTTCAAATAGCATAATTCACGTATGTAGTATACGCCTTGTAAAGAAATTAAAACATTGATAAGACCAAAGTCATACTGGACTTCCAGACCGACACACAGAACTCGCTCACAAGCTGTTTTGCCCACCCTAAACACTCTTTCCCAAGTGTTTTTGGGAAACAAAACACTTTTGCCTGGCCAACTCCTACTCACTCTTCGTTCTCAGCGGAAGCATCCTTTTCTCCAGGAAGGCTTCCCTGACCCTACCGGGATGCTTACTCTGAGCTCCCATGTACTCTGACACTCAGGCATTTGTAATGACGTGCACGAGTCTGAGACAGGATTGGGTCTGCTATGATCATCCCCGGAACCCCAGCACAGAGTGATCCTCACTTTGTGACTATTTGTTAAAATGGGATACCCTTGGTGTGCCTGGGTGGCTCAGTCGGTTAAGCCTCCAACTTGGGCTCAGGTCATGATCTCACGGTTCATGGATTCGAGTCCCACATTGGGCTGTCAGTGCAGAGCCTGCTTGGGATTCTCTCTCTCTCCCTTGCCCTCTATGCCTCTCCCTCACTTGTGTTCTCTCTCTCTCTCAAAAATAAATAAACTTAAAAATGTGTGTGTGTATGTACGTGTGTGTGTGTGTACACACACACACACACACACACGCACACACACACACGCACACACATATAATGGAATACCCTTCCCAACCAGGCACCCATTTGTCTGCCTCTGCTCACACCATTTTTCTCCTGCCCTTCCTCTCTACAAATCCAATGCCTTCCTCAAATCTGGGCCCCCTCCACCACGAGGTCTTCCTTGATCTCTAGTTCCCTGGAACGTCAAAATTGACGGGCCCTTGAAGAACATTCAATCCAATCACCATGAACAGATGAGGAGTCTGGGGCCCCGAGAGAAAAGTGCCTCACCCAGCCCTTGCCCCATTAGATCAGTGGGGGCAGAGGTCAGGCTGGAGTCCCACCTGGCCAAGGAAGGAGTTGGTGCGCAGAGCAATGGTGATGGCGTTGACCACCAGCAGCAAGGCCAGCAGCAGCTGGAAGGCTGGGTGACGAAGCAGCTGCTTGAGGTACATGCGAGTGATGAACTCCTGCATGTCCCAGGTATCCTGGGAGAGGGCAGGGGACCTTCCTTCAGGCAGGTGTCACGGTGGGAGGCCTCTGCCTGGATGTTTGTTCTCAGTGAATGGGGTCCCGGGGGGGGGGCACTCTAAGGGGAGAAGTTGCCTGAGAGGGGTCATGAAATGGGGGCATCAGTGTAGGGGTCACTACCTATATGGCCACTAAAAGCGGGTGACTGTTGGGGGATCTTTGTGGGGATCATTGGAAGGGAGACTTCTGGGGTCTCTGCTGGTGACTGTCATTATATAAGGGTTCCCGTAGGGAGCACTGCCTGGCGGTTACTAACATGCCATGAGGGGGCCAACACAGGGATCACTGCTGGGGAGGGTCCTCAGGGGGGTTGTTTAGAAAATAGAAGGGGCAGAGTTATTCTGATGGCCTGTTGCCCCCTGGGCACAGCTGCAGAAGGGTGACTGTGGGGTGGGGGTCGCTGCCGGCTGCAGCCCAGGCCTCCTCCTTACCCTCGTGCTAGTGATGTCTCTGCGGTTGATCAGTACTTGCTCCTCCGGCCGGGCATAGGGCTCGTGAGTGGCCCTCTGTGAGGGTGAGGAGAGGGCCCATCAGTGCGGCCACTGCCCCTGGGGACCCAGTGCGGTGTCCTGTGCCCCACCCTACGCTGGTATGCCCAGCTTGGGTGGGCCGAGGCAGGGGCCACCTACCATGACGTTCAAAGGTTTGATATTGATGTCAGTCCACTGCTGCCACCAAGTCCTTCGGTTATCCATCGTAGCTGCTCCGTCTCCTCCCACTTATCAAAGAAACTTCATTCCAAGTGGCCTTGCTCCCCCTCGTGGTGAGATCATAGAGGACTCTGTGACCTCCAGCTGTCTGCATTCCACCAAGGAATTCTGACTGTAAGAGAAGCTCCTCCCGCTGACTCCCCTTGGTCCCCAGGGAGGAAGCCAGGGACACTAAGGGGCTGGGCTGCGGTCAGCGGTCAGAGGCTGATGGGAACAGGTCAGGTCTCTTGTGCGGCCTGGATGGAGAGATACAGGGGCATGTCCCTGCTCTGGGTCCAGGAGCCGGAGGTGAGACTTGGAGGAGCGAAGAGCAGTGTTTGGCCCAGAGGCCCTCCTCCCAGCAAACCTCAACCTGTGCTCCTCCCCGTGGGCTAAACCATCCACCGCCCCAGTCTCCAGGCCCGCCCACCCTGCCCTTCCATGCAAGATGGGTTTCTCTATCTAGAGTAAAAGGCTGGTTTCTGTTTCTCTTTGAGCCCCCGGGGACGGGGCAGGAGAGCACCCTCTGGTCTCCAAAGGGCTGGGGAGAGATGGGCATGAGTGGAAGCCCTCACTAGCACGGATCAGCAGCCCATCATCCTGGCAGGCATGGAGCTCCGGGAATAGGGCCCAGGCCAGTGTGAACGCATGGCAGACTAGTTACCAAGAGCATTCGTGCCCTTCTGACATCTTTCCATGGAAGTCAAAGGCACATGTGGATTCATTTTAGATAAACTGATTTTATTCTGTTGAAAGTGTCTCTTGCGTGAAATGAACACCAACACAGGCGGGCTTGGGGGAGGGAGAAGTGCACAGTCTTACGCCCCTGTAGGTCAGAGGGGGAGAGAGAATTCCTTAGCCCCGCTTCTCACTCCTTAATTGGCAAGAAAGGATGGCACAGAGCTCACTTCACCTTAGCCCACTCTGAGGGACAGAGGAATAGAAATGGTGGACGCTGAGGCAAAGGGGGGCACATTGGGGTGATACATGGACTAGCGCTACCTTCAACTTTGAATAGAACCCGGGGATGCTCTGTCCTGGGCATGTCAGAGGCTGTAGGCTGAGGTGGTCCTCAAGGCCACAGGTCAGGAGCCAGGGTACTAGCCAGGGTCAGAGGTCAGGAGGTCCGCGGTTGCTCTCTGGGGTCAGGGGGCAGAGATGGGACTGTTCCTCGGGTTCAGAGGGCAGGGGGTGGGAAGACTGTTCTCTGGAGTCAGAGATCAGGACTTGGGAGTGGCCTTCAGCCTGCACCAAGCCCCAGGCTCCCAGGCTCTCTGAGTAGAGCTCCTGGTTCCGTTCCTTCCACCGCCGGAACTTCTCTCCAGTCAGCTCAGGGTCGCCTAGCACTTCCTCCAAGGCCTGCAGCTCCTGCAGCTTTGCCTGTGAAGAGGGTGGGGGCTAAGGGGTCATGATCACCCAGGGAGAAGGGCAGAGCCCAAGCCCAGAGCTAACTCTGGAGTCCGGTGCTTAGAACCCAGCACCTGGCCCGGTCTAGCACTGATCCTTAAATTGAGAGTCTGGCTCTGGGAACCTAGAACTTGGCCCAGCCCACAGCTGAGCCCAGAGCTCAAGGCCAGGAACCAGAGCCTAAAGCCCAGAACCCAGTCCTTCACCACGCCCAGTGCCCTCCAGCTGACCTTGAGTGTGCTCTGTAGCGCGCGCACACGGTGCACTCGTTCATTGAGCTGGGGGTCTCGGTTGCGCCGCATAAAAGAGCTCCGCCATTGTTCATGAGTGAGAGGCTGGGGCTGGCCCAGGAGGGACACGCCACCCTGCCTCAGCCCCCACACCATTCCTTCCAGTGCCCCTTCACTGTTGTCTGTGGGAGGGGGGAGCAGATGAGGATGTGCCCATCCCAGCCCCCACCACCCCCACCCCACCATCCATCCCAGCTCCCAGCCCCAGCACAGCACCTGTTGGTGGGCCAAAGGAAGTCCGTGGGCCACCCTGCATGGGGGTGGCTGCAGGTAATGTGTCTCCATGGAGTGGACTCCAAGCTCGGGCTTGGCTGGGCTGTGGGCAGGGCAGAGAGGCGGTGGCATTCAACCTCTGTCTGCTATTGTCTCTACTAGTCTCCCTACTACTCCCAGCCCGACCCAGCCTCATCACAGTGACTGCTTCTTGCCCCACTGTGCAGTCTGGGGGGGGGGGGACAGGAGCAGTTGGGGAGCCCACTCAGCATCACAGGGTTTCGGGAGGCCAGGGAGTGGGCTAGAGCATTAGAGTTCCCAGCCCCCATTCCAGGAAAGACAGAGGCTCAGCTGAGACCTGGTGAGACACCCACCTTCCTCGCGGGGCAGGGAGGCCCGGCCTGGAGACTGGTACTTGGAAATGCAGGTGATGAGATGGCGCACCCACCTGTGGAGGGGCAAATGGGTCTCAGGGAGCTGCCATTTACTATATGTCTGGGCTTTTCACCTATATCGTCTTCTGATTTAATCTCCAGAGCACTTCTGAGAGGTAGGAACCCTTTGTTTTGTTTTATTTTATTTTATTTTATTTTATTTTATTTTATTTTATTTTAAGCAGGCTCCATGCCCAGTGTGGAGCCCAACACGGGGCTTGAACTCACGATCCTGAGATCAAGACCTGAGCTCAGATCAAAAGGCAGACACTTAACCAACTGAGCCACGCAGTCACCCAGTCCAGCCACGCAGGAACTTTTATTAACCCATTTTATAGATGATGAAACTGAGGCTCAGAGAAGTGAATGCCTTGACTAGCTACTATCTGAGAGCTGGGATTTGAATCCAGGTTTCCAAGCACCCAAACACTCATGTGGAAGCTGGGAGGTCAGGGGGGTGGCACTCACATGCTCAGATCCTCCAGGGTATCAGCAGCAAAAATGAAGGGTTTGTACACGTCATGGGTGAGCTGGAACACACTGCCAGGGAGCACAGGGCCTGGGTCAGCCTGGCTGTGCCCATCCAGAACTGGACTGGGAATCCCAGCTACCTGCTGCCCCCGCTTCCCCGCTCTCCCTTTCTTGCCCGACCCCCCCAGCTTATCACAGTCCAGGACTTAACTACTTTTTCTTCTGATCCTGTCCACTTTCCAGACTGTAGTTGGAAACATTGATGAGGCCCTCAGCCTTCTCATCCTGGGGGGGAATCATAGCGTGAGGGTCAGCTCGAAGGCCCAACACCCTCGAGGCCCAGTCAGGTTCTTGGAGCGGGAGAGGGGAGAGGGTGTGTTTTGGGCTCTCCAACCACAAATTTCCCCTTGCCTAGAGCTCAGGGCAGGAATCTGGGGTGGGGGCAGGGTTATGACCAAGGGGCACCTTTGAGACAGCAAAGGGGAACCAAAGATATCCAGGCAAACAGCCAGAGAGAAAAGACTGGTTATACATTTGTTCTGTCATTAGACACACACGAAGCTGCTTCATACCCCTGAGCTTTGCAAACGCTGCTCTCCGTTCCTGGTTTTTTCTCCTTTCCATCCAACTAACCCTCAGGCGTTGATTTCTCAGGGGGCCTTCTCCACTCTTCAGGCTGGACTGTCTACCTCTGCTGGGCTGCTCCCCATCCCTGGGCTTTTCCTTCATCACGGCATGTGTCCCCTGAACTGTCCTTGAGTGTGTGTACATCCTCCCCCCACCAGCCTAGAGGAGCAGGAACTGCCCAAGTCTTCCCTGTGTCCCTAGTACCCGGCTAAGAGCTGGGTGCACGGTAGGTACCTGAATGTTTGTTGAATGAATAAACAGTTGAACAAATGGCCCATCACTAGGACAGACAGAGTAACAGAAGAGGAAGGAGAGGTGGGCAGAATAAACGTGATTCTTTCTGCACTGCCCGCGATACCTTTCCCAGACTGCTTTTCTACACATATTCACTCATTTCTCTCCAAAAAGCATCCTCGTTTTACAGATAGGGCTCGGGGGGCAGGGGGGTCTGCGGCCTGCCTGTGACCACAGATGGAGTGGATGGTGGAATAAGGACAAGAACCACGGCTCTGACTCACTTGCTGACCTGTGTTGGGGTGGGGGGTGGCGCTCACCTGGGGCTGGCGGTACCAGTAGAGCGTGTGTCTCTTGAGCACAAACCAGCAGCGGCGCCAGCGCGGACCCATGAAGCCACCAGCCACCTTGCGCAGCAGGAGCCAGCCGTCACAGTCTGGCTGGCCCAGCTCCCGGCATGACACCCGCCGGCGACTCAGCCGCGTTGCCACACCTGCAGCACAGCACGGCCTGGGTGATCAGGGACCGGCAAGGCATCCTGGACCCCCAAACCTGCTCCCCACTCCCCCACCAGCGTTCCCCGGTGGTATTGCTGAACCCAGACTCTACGCCTGAAATGTTACAGGTGTCTCCCTGAGGTAGGGCTGACTCTTCCCGTTTTATTTATTTATGTATTTATTTATTTTTGAGAGAGTGCAAGTGGGGGAGGGGCAGAGAGGGAAGGGACAGAGGATCTGAGGAGGGCTGTGCGCTGACAGCAGTGAGCCCGATGCGGGGCTCGAACTCACAAACCACGAGATCACGACCTGTGCCGAAGTCGGCCACTCAACCGACTGAGCCACCCAGGCGCCCCCGACCCTTCCCATTTTAGAGACGAGGAGATGAAAAATCAGAGGATAAGCCATTGGCCCAAAGTCACAGAGCAGGTGAGAGGGCCAGGCTGGGAGCACAGGTCTGTCTGACCCCAGAAACAGCTGTTCAAGAGAAGCTGTGTGTGAAATGTGAGGGGTGGTCTTGCCAAGCATTGTAAAGACTTCTAAGAGCTCATATCAGGGGACCTCCACCCAGTCAGGTACATCTTTTACCTTTTGACTTCTTCTGACGAGGGACAGGACTCTGAAAAGACCATAAGGGGTTAGAGAAGGATCTGGGGCCGGAGCCACACACCCCTCCTCGCTGAGCCCTCACCTTACCTTGTCAGGGTGCTCCTGGGGTTCCCGAGTCATTGCTACCCCTGCTGGCAGTGTGGCTGGGGGTGCAGGGAAAATGGGTAGGGATTCAGGGTCAAGGGAGGTAGAGTCTGTCAGGGAGGAAGGAGAGAGAGGAGGGCCCGTGAGCCTAGCCCCAGGCTGGGCAGTAGGGTGAGGGTGTTGGAGTCTGGGGATCAGAGCCAGGCATCCCACGTGCCTTGCCTGGGGCATCTACCACCTGGTGGGAGTTTGAAACTACCTGTCCAGGCAGCGCTGGGTCCAGGACTTGGGTTTGAAGTCAGGTCGAAGGCAAAGACGTCTTCGGGTGGGGCCCTGGGGAGAGCAAGGGGAGATGAAAGGAGGGAGCCCGTGGCTCCCCCTCCTCCCCTTGCACCCGCAGCAGAGCCATTACCTGGGAGACTGTGGGGTGAGAGCCAGCGAGGAGATCGTCAGCTGTGGGGAGCCGAGGGCCCGAGGAGGGGTCTGGGGAACAACCAGAAATGGTGACAGAGCTGATGACGACGGGGGTCTGAAAGCAGTCTGTGGGCAGGGCTGAGGGACAGTTACCTGTGGGGGGGTCTTTGGTACTGGGACCTTCTTCAGCACTAAGCTGACCCCGGCTGGCTCTCGAAGCAGCTCCCTCACCACGTTCTTATGGGGCCAGCCCACCTGGGGGACAGGGCAGGGGGAAGGACAGGGACTCTGGGATGATGGAGCTGGCCAGGAAGCTCTGGAGTAAGCCAACAGCCCTCGCCCTTGGCTTCCTGCCACTCCTCCTCCAGGGGGCCTCCATCAGCCCCTATACCTTGCCTCTGCCAAGGCCACTCTGACCTGTGGGAGCTGGTTCACTTCACGGGAGGCAGCTCCCACAGCCCTGGTCTCCCCAAGGGACCCTCCCCACCCACCAGCCCTGGGCTCTACTCAGTAGCCCCTTCACCTCCCGCCGTGTGCCTCTCTTCCTCACTCACCACCACCTGCTCGTTGACCTGGACAATCTCGTCTCCAGGCAGGATCTGCAGCCGGGAGTCCGCAGAGACCTGGTATGGGGGGTGGGGCTCATAGGGTGTGCTTTCCACGGGCCTGAAGCCGGCTCAGCCGGAGGGTAAGACGGCAGCTGAGAAGAGCGTGGGATTCTCACCTGAGTGCCCACGCGGGACACGAAGTGCAGGCAGTTACTGGTGGTGTGGATTTCCAGACCCTGCCAAAGCAGAGGCTGCAGTCATTGAGAGTATGAGGGAACTGGGATTCCTGGGTCGGGGGAATGGGGGAGAGAGCTGGCCCCAGGTTGGCACTGCCCACCTCGCTGTGTGACCTAGGGCCTGCCACTCCTCTCTGGGCCCCTGCCTCCTCCTCCAGTAAGGGCCAGAGGGAAGCTGGTCCCCTGACTAACGAAGTAGGAGATTCTCAGCAGCCCTCCCGAAGGGACAAGCAGGGATGGGGCAGGGACAGGGCAGGGCTGGAGGCTCCTGTTTTCCTAACTAGTCAAAGATTAAGGCAGAAAAGTCCATGTCCTTTCCCCAGTCCCCTAACCTGCCAGGTCTGTGTCCAGGACTGGAATGTGTCACCTGAGACCATACCAGCTAAAGCCCCTCAGGACTGGAGAGAGTGCTGAATGACAGTGTGTCCCCAGGAAAGTTCTCTGGGCCTTTTTTAACAGCTGTACAGAAAAGGCCTTCCAGCCATAACAGTACAGGGTTCTGTGGGATGCTATAGCCAAATCCGAGGGCCCGGACAAGGCCGCCAAGGGGTCAGCGCTCACCAAAGGATCGTCCAGCTGCACACGCTCCAGCACAGCCGTCTGCTCTAGAAGCTCCTGGGGGCTGCAGCTCAGGATGGCATGGCAGATCTCTACCACATGGCTGCACTGGGGGTGGGGGAGCAGGATGTCTAGCTTGAGCCCCCATCCCACCGCCACCCCTACTCCCCACAACCCCACACTCACAATGCTCAGGACTTTGCTCTCCTTCTCAGCTGCTGGACTGTTCTGGAAGCAGAGAGGACAGTTTTCTCTGAGTCGGGGGCACTGCCTTCTCAGAGGACAGGGTGGGCTTCCCCAAAGTCCCTCCCTGCGTCCTGTATGCCGGTCTCCTCCCAGAACTACAGGGCCTCAGAGCTTTGACTCCAAGGTCTTGTCCCCTGATGCCAGGCCCCAGAGGTCACCATACATGCCCTCCCCCACCCCACCCTCTCCTGAGAGTCAAACTTTCTGAGCTGCCCCTGCCAGCTAGGAGACCCCAGGCCCTCATTGCCCCCTACCCAGCGGCCAGGCCGCTCTTCTTCCTGCCTCTGCCTCTTCCCAACCCCCACAGCCGATCCTGTGCTGATTCACAGGTTATAAAAAGCTCTAGCCTGACTTGGTCCCTACAAACTGGGCCAAGCCTGGCCCCTGGTTCTTCTACCTCCTGCAAGGCCTGGCCCAGCTCCGCGCACAACTCCCCAATCTTCTGACAGGCCGAGAAGTCGTTTAAGCGAGAGAAGAGGTACCTGACGGGGGAAGTATGGAGCAAGTGGTTAGGAGGCTGTGCTGACCGGTCAAGTCATGGAACCGCTCAGAGCCAACGACTCATTTGGGGATAGATAACGCTTACTCTGACGGTTTTGATGGGGGCAAAGAAGATGATGGATAAATCTAAAGAGCTTAGCACCAGACTTATTTGTCAAGTGCCTGATATGTCCCAAGGCCTGTTCTAGGAACATGATTACAGCAATAATGATATAACTTCAGCTGCTGTGAGGTGTCTGGAGCTCTAAGAACACCCAACAGGGAAGGCTTCCCAGAGGAGGTGACATTTGAACTGGGACCTGTGGGACAAGCAGCAGCACTGAAGAGTGCAGAAGCTCTCTATGCAGTGCTATGAATGAGTGGGAACCCAGGCATCCCGGTGCCCCTGCACTGACCAAATAACCTCTTCGCCCTGCTCCACAATATCTGAACAAGAGCCAAGCTCTGTTCTCTCCCACGCCCCGGAGGAGGCCAGGGATGAGAAGGGTCCCTTCACCGTCAGCCCAACCAGGGTCCTGGGAGGAGCCCGAGGTACCTGTTGAGCCAGAAGAGGAGGGCACGGGCCTCATGCACCAGTTCCACAGCCGCGCTAAGGACATCAGCAGGGGGCTCAGCACAGCCTTCCAGGTGGCCTCCGACTAAGCTCTGGAAGGCCTGGGTCACCTCCAGCAATCCCTCCGTCAGGCTCTGCAGATTCTCTGTCTGTCGCCCAGAGCTCTGCACCAGAGTAAAGGCAGATTATCTCCTGACAGTGGCCAGCCCCCCCATCAGCAACCCCCCAGGTGGATGGAAGCTGCAGCCAGTGTGGCCACCATTCACTCACCAAGGCCCGGAGCTGTTCCACCCCCTCCAGGATGAGCTCCTGGTGGCCCAGAGGCCATACGGTCAGAGCCTCAAGGCTTTGGGGACAGAGCTGGAGCAGGTACTTGCCAGGCAGCTCCCAGTCCTCAAAGCAATAGTCCTGCAGGGAGTCATCGAGGCCTGGAGGGAGAACAGGGGCCAGCATGGAGGGAGCCGGGAGTGCCTGGGCCTTTCAGGCCACTTTTTCACCCCCACAAAGCCCCTTTCCCTCCCATCTGTTCCTACCACAATCTGGGGACCCATTTCACAGAGGGAAACTCTGAGTTGCCCTCAGCTACTGAGTTGAGTAGAAGAGTAGAGGATAATGGCTCTCAAAGGGTCTCCAGAGCACCTGCAGTGACAGCCTCACTGGGGAACTTGTTAGAAATACACAAATTCTCGGGGCGCCTGGGTGGCTCAGTGGGTTAAGTGTCCGACTTTCGGTTTTGGCTCAGGTCAGGATCTTGCGGTTTGTGAATTCAAGCGCCACATGGGGCTCGGCGCTGGCAGCGCGGAGCCTGCTTGGGATCCCCTTTCCCCTCTCTCTCTGTCCCTCCTCCACCTGCAGTGTCCCTGTTTCTCTCAAAAATAAATAAATGGACTTAAAAACCCCCCACAAATTCTCAGCCCCACCCCCTGAATCAGAACTCCGAGTAGGCCCAGCATTTTGCATTTTAACCAAATCTCCAGGTGCTTTACTCAAGTCTGAGAACCATGGGGATGGTGATAAGAGAGAGCACAAGACCTTGGAGTCAGGGAGACCTGAGGGCTAGTACGTGAGCAAGTAACTTAACTGTTCTATGCCTCAGTTTCCTCACCTGTGAAATGGCAATAATAAAAGCACCTACCTTCTAATCCTGTGCGTATTAAGTGACATGACTGAGATATGTCAAACACTTGGCTTATTCCCAGGTTCATAGTAGACAGTAACAGCCACCACAGTATTATCACCAGACTCTTTAGCCTGGTCTGCAAGGTCCTGTATGATCCGGGCACTAAGTCCCTGTAGTGTAACTCCTGAGATGCTCTTCTGCCTCAGGGTCCTCGCATGTCTTATTTCTTCTGCCCAGACTGTTCTAGCTCCCTCACTCCCCTTTTTAATTCAACTGCCTCCAGGAAGCCTTCCATGACTTCCCAGGGTAAGTCGGAGGGCTCTCCTGCTCCCTCTGCCCCTGTGCCTCTACTAACACCTGCACTTGAGCATCGACCTCTCCCACTTGGTCACCCCCTCAGGCTCTGGGCCATAACTAACTGTTCATCTCTAACTCCAGCCCATGTCTGGCACAACGCGGGCCTAAAATAGGGAAAATGTCTATTGAAGGCTTATTATGTGCTGAGCGAAATGTTAAGGGCTTTACACATATTAACACAATCGGTTCTCACTGAACATAGGAGTTAAAGATTATTGTTATCCTCATTTTATAGGTGGGAAAATTGATAAAAATAGAGATTAAGTAGCTTGCTCACTCTTTGAAGGAATTCCTTCCATTCCAAGTCAGGCTCCATCATTGGGGAATGTGAGTGTCACTGACAGCTCTCCTTCATCCCCTTGTGTGACATTAAGAACACTAGACTAAGAGTTCATGGACCTGTTACCCCATGAGCAGCTCTTTGCCACGTACAGTGACCCTGTTGTGCTGCCTTCCTCCCAAAAGTTTCCTACATTGAGCCACACATACGAGGCACCTGCCATGAATGTCTCGTTTTGTCTACTTCATGAGATCATTGTTGACTTTCTCATCATGTGGATAGAGAAACTGAGACCTCTGGTCACAGAGCTGGTGAGTGGAGGGGCGCGGCCTGGAACCCAGCCTGGGAGTCTGACTCCAGCCCAGAATCCCGCTTTTTAGGGGCTGGTGGCCCGGAGCCTGCCAGCAGCGCACTCTGCTCCCATCAGGAGGGGGACTCCCCTCCCCTCTCCCAGCTGCAC